AATGGCAATGGTGATGATAATGATGCTATGTCAAATATCGATAAAATATTGCAATGACGTTTGAAACTATTAACTCGTTATAAAAATAATAAATCGAAGAAATATGCAAATAAAAGAGCCTTGAACTCAAGAATTATATTATATATCATCAACGTAACAAGGCACTATCTATCATGATTTGACTGATGAGTTTTTGCATGTTGTGAAACATAATAATACTTGTATCAGAACACGTCTTTAGACGTTTGATATGAATAATTGTCATGCCGTATAGTCGTGAGGCGTTCATTAACTTTGGTCAACATGAGAAAAGCTGCAATTAATGATAGTTACAAATAGTCTTCATTATTTTGTGCTAATTAGCATGTTTTTCTTTCGTTCTTTCTTTCTACGAAAGCTCTTTATCCACGTACAAAGATTTCTTATATTCGTGAATGAATACCTCAATACATAAGAACAAAACAAAGTGAGCGAATTCTGCGCTTTTCAAGCTTCAATCTTTTCTAATTAAAAAAGTATGTCTTTTTTCCCCCCATTAATTATTCATCATTAAACATGCTCTTTGATTATTTATGCTTGAATCGTTGTATGAGTTAAAAGACAGCCTGTAAAATAACAGAAGTCCCTAAAATTTATTTCTATTGAAAAGTATTTTGTCGATTTACTTGCAACAAAATATGATGAAGAAAAACAATAGAATTGTATAGGCAATTCATAAACTATTGTGACTGCATTTTTTCTTCAAATATCTTCACACTGCATGTTGCATTTTCAATGAGCAATTCAGAACGTTTCTGTAACGGTGAATTGATCAACATCGTCTATTAGCAATCACAGTCTAGCGAATATGATTTAATTAAGAACAATGAAAAACGTAGAAAAAAGTACTACTGAAATACTTGAGGAAATTGATATATTCAGTAAGCGAGTACTCATAGAAGAAATCAATTAGTAGCAAGTGATGAGAAGTGAAATATATTTACTGGTAAATATAAAAAAAATACAACTGAATGATTAGATAGAAAACAATAGTTACAATCATTAGAATCGATCAATTCTAATTATAAACATAACATAAATAACTAGACAAGATAGGATTTCAGAGTGCAGAACTTTTAAATTCATAATGTTTCTCAATGAAACGATTTAATGAAAAATATACTATTGGTGAGAACCAATTTCAAATAGCATTGCAACAAAAATCTACTACAAAGAAAAATAACGGAATAAACAAAATAATTAGATTCCATATTTAATAATTAGATTTAGATTAATTTTTATTTTCGATAACATTGGAACCAGCTTAGTTGATTCGAGTTTATCACAATACTGTTTGTTTATAGATTGGTGATGACATCATCATATTGATGGAATTATACTGTATATATATATATATATATAAATACATCAGCTGTTCATTCCAAAGAATTACTATCATTATTTTGGTGGGAATAATTGACTACTGCGAAGAAAAATACTCATTTATCTTTACTTGTAACACATATATTCCTGATTGATGTAATTTTAATCTTGTAAGAAACGTATACTAAGATAACCTTTGGAAAGAAATAACGGATTCGAAGTATCATCTGATAGTGAAATACAACACAACCATTATTCTTTGGTGTTTTCATTGATTATCAAAATCCTTATTCAAACAACTGAAGAAATATGATCACCATCGAACACAATAAATTCAATTCGATCCATTCTTTACGCCCTTCGTTTTTACTAGAAATAAAATTGAATGAACAGCTCGTCTGCATTACTGCTGTCATTCTCATTTTCTCTGGATTCTATTCTGACTTGTTTGCTTGCTTCATTAACCATCAAATTAGACCATAAAAAAAGAAGAAGAAAAGGAAAAGCAAAGAAAATTAAATAATCTAACGGCGATCCATTATGATCCATTTGTGTTTCTTCAATGCACTAGCTGATGTACGCCGATGCATCACTAACTACAAAAGGTGTAAGATGTCTTTATAAGCCCAAAAGAGGAAACGGATGCACAACACGTCACGTAGTTTCTGCCTATTGACATCATATTTGTATTTTCATTAATAAAGCTAAAAGAAAAATCACTTTCATTTCCTTGTGATGGTCAAATGATATACTTCATTGAACTTGAAGGCACACAAAAAAAGGAAAAATGTAATGTCAATTTATCTTATGTTCATATTAACGGTAGGCATTAGTCAACCTTGTATTTGTTGTGTATTATAATGAAGCTGCTGTTTGTGTTGCTGTCGGGTAAACGAGCCGGAAATGGGTCACTTAGATGGATAGTGGTGTTGGTGCAACATGATGCCGTTTCTCTTTCTCTTGCTTTCTCTCTTCTTCTTCTTCTTCTTCTTTCGTGGTGTCGTTATTCATCAATGCACATTCAAAGCGTGCAGCTTATAGAGGCGGAGAAAAAGAAAAAGAACTTTATACACATGAATTTCTTGCATACATACATTCTTGAACACGAAGACGACATACGTAAGTTTCATTCGAGAAAGAAAAATTGAGCTAATTTTCCTTTGATATAATGCTGATGGTATCAATGGTTGAGATCTCAAATTACCTTTTTTTTTCTTTTTTAATCTTTATGAGCAACAATTTGTGTCTATCCGGATTAGCGTCGCGCCTAATTCTTATGCAATAAATAAATAAATGTATCTATATATACATAAATGTATATGCATATGCATGTATGTGTATATGTATGGTCAATTACGTTTGAATAAATGAATCAATCTGAGCTGTACGAAAGATCTACGGAAGAACTGACTAACATTTCCTTCGTCTCTATTTGGGGTATTACTAATGACGCGTGACTTCATTGGACATCACATCGAAGGTTCAATGTCATTCTCTCTTTTTTCTCGCTTTCTCCTTCTCCCTCTCTCTCTCTCTCTCTCTCTCTCTCTCCATCTCCCTCTGTTTCTCTGTCGCTTTCTGACTTCATTCTTGTTGTTACATTATATTGTATTCATCGAATGGAGTGTTTCATTCACTCTTTCGCTCTCTTAGTGCAATGTTCTAATGTGTATATGTGTGTGTTGAGTGTTGTTCAATCGGTATTCATGCCGAATAGAACATCAACAAAAAAAGAAGAAAAAAATTCATGCTGAATTTCGAAAGCTCACACTTGCGCACCACCGTTGATGTACTCTAGTTCGCCTTCTCGCATCTATTCACTAGTTATAGTCAATGCAAAGTGAGTACTCGGAGCGTGTTGATTTTATTTCTTGTATTAACGTTAGTTAGGTTTTGTCATTTATGTTCTTCATCTAATCACTCGAAATTACAAGGAAATGCATGACAGTATGTGTCATGGCAAATTATCAAGGATAGCAAAAAAGGAGTTAGAAGATAAAAACTAGAGTCATTGAATTGATTATGCGCTGAAAGTCATCATCATTCTATTGAATTGAGCATGACCATTGCTTGCATTAATAATGTTGTTTTGTTTCAGTAAGCTGTAAAAGTCAGCTATTCATATTGCGTCATTATAGTTCTATACTGTCAGGAATCACCACATCCACAGTTGCTTCCCGTTTTTCTTTTGATTTTATTTTATCTAAACACATCAATGTGTGAAATTCCTTTCTTTTTCTTTTCTCCTTCTCTCTCTCTCTCGTTTTCATTGTCTTTTTGGTCCCTTCCGTTTATATGTGATCAATGAAAAACAACCTCACAATGATGAATCCTTGGAACTGCCATAACGACAAAAAAAAGGCGTTGGTGCCAATAAACTTTTGTTCTTTACACTTTTACTCGTCCATGTCTTCTTGTGAGCTTTAGCGTGCATGCGTATGCGTGATCGATCACTCGTTAGAGTCTACCAGTAGTCATAGTAGTAGATCGTTGACCGTGCCTAAACAAACATATCTCAACAATAAAAGTTCGATTATCTTCTATCAATCAGACAGAGAGATAGAAGGAAAAGCATTACACAGGTGAATGATGTAATCATATGTATTAGTATATCATCACATCCGGGTGCATGTGTGTATGTATATTTTTCGAAACGCGGCGACGTGATGCCCTCGAGTAGATAGACATCGTGTGAAACCTGTCGTCGTCTACTTTTTCTGTACACATCACATGTAGATATGAACATAGAAAGAGAAGAGATCGAGGATTGCATGATAGTCATAATGAATTGAACGTAGGCAGGCGAAAACACACACACGATAAGGCATGTGTATATGTATGAATGAGTGACTGGAAAAGCTCGTTAGACTCACCATCGAGATAAGACGACGATGAGCATTGAAGTATGTATGTATGTGTACGTTCTCAGAAGACAACTTAATGAAATGCATCTTTCAGCAAGTGATAGTGGATGAGTCGTTCGATCCCGAATAAATATCTTCTTCCCTTGCGACTATCTGTAGAGAAAGAAGATTACAGGTACAATTCTATGACTATTGAATGATAACTTATTCGTTGATCTTCATTTTTTCCCCTTCTCTCTTCGACTCTTTGTGGTTAACAGGGGGAGAGAAGCGAGAATGAGAGAGAGAGAGTCTAATGATAAAATGACTCGGTATGTACAATAATATTACACTGACTAGCCTCTCTTTTTTCTTCATCAGATCGTTGGTATGTATATTCATATAAATGTATATATATATATATATATATATACATTCATTGTCCTCTCACATCTTTTGCTTTCAATGCGTGGGTGCTCTCATGTTAATCACCATATATATTAAGAGTATTCATTTTTTTTCTCTCTCTTTGTTATAGACGAAAGCATCTAATGGTTTAATTGTATTATAACGTCGTTCGACTGACTACTACTATCACGACTCCTATTACCATTATCATAGTGAAAATTATCATTCGAAAAAGCTGAATGCACTGACACATGTCCGATTATCATTATCAAACTAATATTCGAAAGCATTAAATTCAATTTTCAATCAGAATAAATATATAAGTCACAATAGAAAAGCGACGATTTTCTCTCTAACTCGAATTCATTTACTATTCTGTTTTATTCAATGGAATGTAAACACCAGACAGCAACGGCTGTTACTGCTATCCGGCAATCAACACTTGCTAGTCTTCTTTTCTCTATTGTGATGATTTTACTTATCGGTAAGTATGCCTAAATATATATATATATATATATATATATGTACATACATACATATCTGCCTTAGTGTATATTCTTTTAATAAGTTTTCTTTTAAAAATAGAATGCAAAAAGACCTTGAGGCATGATACACACAGCTGGATGCATCCTCTCTTTTTGACTCCTGTTCATTAAAACCAAATGACACTCCTCTTCTCTTTTTTCCAATTAATAATTCTAAGACGAACGAAGTAACACGTTTACGTGTATATTTTATGATTTATATCTATATATATCTTTTTGACTGATCGATGAAAATCGATCAAAGTACGTTATGCGCATAAGCAATATGTCACTTTTCTCGGCTTTCTCACGGGAACATATGTCATTGACGAGTCATAGTTCATCTAGATGAAAAGAAATTAGCCGTAGTTGAACTTTTGCTTTTACATTACATCACACATTGACAGTAAGACAGCGAGACCGACCAGCAGACGCAGACAGGCAGCCAGCCAGACAGACAGAGACCTTGTATGTTCAAGTGTTCATTTTTATACGTTTTTCTTTTTCTTTTGAAGTTGATGGTACATTAGCAAGTTCTACAAGTGATGCAAAAATTATCTCAACGCAAGATGAAATTATTACCTATGTTAACCATACAGCTAGATTATCATGTATTATAGAAAATAAAGGCCAACATCATGTAAATATTATTGAATTTATAATTTTTCAGAAAATTAAAAAAACATGATTTTAATTTTTAGATCACATGGTCTCGTGTTACATTTATAAATGAAACACAAAAAATAACTACTCTTCTATTTGTTGATCTATTAAAATATACACAATCTAGTCATTATCATTTAACACGCATGATCGAACGAGATAATCGTGAACATTGGAATCTTGAAATACGTAATGTCCATCTATCTGATCAAGGTTATTATAGCTGTGTACTAACAGAAATTAAGCCAATATCAAAAATATTCCATGTCAAGGTTCTCGGTATGTATCACGCTTCATAAGATCATGATAATAGAAAAACGAGGATAATAATAAGAATAAGAATACTCGTTGTGCAGCATTCTCAAGAGATTTTAATTCATACATTTCTCAGTGAAGTTCTTTTTTCTTTTCTATTTATTTTGACTCTAATGATCATTCATATTCCGGGCTGATGTCAATTAATTTCATATTAGATTTATTCGCTTTTTTCTCTCTCTTTTTTTAAAAAGAACTTACACGCAATCCGCTACTTGCTCTACGTTCAACATCGGATGCACATACAAATAATGTGCAAAGACGATCAAAGGATGATAGCTTTTCATCATTATCCTTACTATCATCATCATCATCATCAATATTAACAATATTTTTAATGAACATTTTATTAATAATTATTTAAATTTTTATCATACTACTGTTTCTTGTTTCTTCCTATGGTTAAACAGGTTGTTTGCTTGTGTGTGCTTGTGTTTGGATTTCGAAGAGTATTTTTATTCTTATCCCTTGCCGCCTAGATGAAAGAGAAAAAGAAGTCTAACAGTGATGTATCTTGTTTTTTTTTCTGAATAATATTAATTTAATTAACCAAAACAAAACAAAACGTAGTTGTTTGCAAAATGAATGATCGGATGTGCGACATTTTATTGTATTTATTTTAGTCTATAAATAAAGTGGTGACATATACATTGAATATTTAAAGAGTTTTATTGAATTGATGTTGTTAACAATCAGTGATGCCAAACGATAGAAAATTGCATAGCATTCTATGATCATACGTTATCTATGTAAGTAAAAAGTCATCGCGAAGATATAGTGCATATGAAAATTAAAAACAATTTTTCTGGTTAATAAAAGACGAACACTATATTTTGTTTTATTTATGTTCATGGTATTTGCCGGACAATTTATTTTTAGTAGGGTATCACATAATCAATTTAAATTGATCGACTGAGTCAATAAAAAATACTATTACCATTTCGTTTTCTCGATGTTATTTATACTTAATACATATAAGAGGAAAATATTAGTTTTTCTCACGATTTTAATCAATTTCTTTTTTTATATTCAAGCAAACAGTTGATAGTGGGTATCAGCTTGGCCATTTATGCTGTGAAAAGACACATTCAGATTTTTATTTCATAATCATGGAATCAGATTGAAAAATTTTCGCCTAGTTCTTTTTGATGATATGTCAAGTTATGACGAAACATTTTAAAGTAAAAATTTCATAACATTTGCTATACTGGTTGAAGCAGTGAAATTGAGATGTGTAGGATGAGCAGTTTTGATATCCTACACCTTGACTGTAGGTGATATTCTAACCTTTATTCTGTTCTATGCTACAGGGTAGAGTAGCCCTATACATTGCTGCTATGAAAATAAGCTTCGTTTATGTTTGAAATAGATATTCAGAAACAAAAGTTTTAATAATTTGATAAAAGTTATTTATGAAATTTTCTTCGGTGAAAAATCGAAAATTGACGTCGAATTACTTAGTTTCAAAAAATGATTCGAAGCAATTTCTACGGTGATTATGTTGCCATCAACGTGTTTGTCTTTTAAGTTAATAGACTTAGACTTATTTGAATTAAACTAATATTCTGACGGTCACATCAACAAATTTGAAATATAAGTTGGTATTAATGAATCTAGATGGAAATATTCTAATTTCAAAATATTTATAGTACTTATATGTAATGTACTGAGAATCACAAAATCCCAGGAGTTTGTTCTTTTTTTTTATTATAGTTAGATAAAACTTGGAAAAAAAGATTAAAGAAAATTAGAATTTCGTGTATATTGTCTCTTGTATTTTGAAATAGTCATGATGAAAAATGATGCTGAGATCTAAGTTTACATGTATGCTATATAAGCTGTGCATACGTTAACACTGAAAATACTTAGATCTAGGCACACGAATGTAATAGTAAATCATGAATTTTTTAGTTTGATGATAGAAGCTCTATTACTTAATCTATATCAATCTAAAAGTATTAGCCTAACTCGTGAAATTTTCGATAATTAGATAAATCTATTTCAATTGACACTGAATGCCGAAATGAAAATAAAGGATTACTCGAGTAATTGTTTCCCATCATATAAAATCGTAGCGGTAGCAATGCTGGCTCCATATAGTACTAGTATTTCTTATGATATTGGCTTGATATTATCAATATATACGTATATGAGAAATCGAAACCGTAGTAACAAGTATTTACCCATGCTTTATAGGTTTATATGCACAGAAGTTATGACTTGGGCAGCAGTTCCCTAATGCTATCATTTTATCCAATACATACTGGCATTAATGTTTTTGTATGATGATCTAATTGAAAAACTCATTGCCGCAAGTACTTACTTCTAGTTCGACTATTGATAGAAATTACTGTAAAATAACTAAGATATTACCTTTTGCGTTAAAATTGTTTTTGGAAGAGAAAATATAACTTTTAGATTAAGTCCATCTCTTCGGCGACGCCTCTGATCAATACTTTGAAAATAATCAATAAAACCTTATTCACGAGAAAATAACTTCGTTTTAGAATTCTAAGATTTGCGCAGCTGAATGAAACCGGGGTAACGTTGCAAAAGTAGTGCCGTGTTCTAGAGTGTACTTATTAAGAAGTTCTTGACATAGTACCACGGGTGTCATTGATAATAAAGTAAATATGTGGGGCTGCCAACAGAGCTCGAAAGAACAGCACTAGTAGCATATGCAATAGGAAAATGCCAACACAAAAAAAGGAACTTATTCTCCGTATATTTTATTTGACTATGTTTTCTTCTTCTTCTGAAGGACAAGAGCAAGTGTGCATCGAACGTCTAACTAGTCATGAAACAATGGGTGACGGATTCATGCTTGAAATCAGAATCTATTTTTGCACGCATACATTCAAATTATCAGTTCAATGTAAAAAATGACACTAGAAAACTAATCGAGTGTGGCTATAATTTATTCAGGATCTTAGACATTTGAGAAATACATTCAAAAGCAAAACTTCATATTAGTTACAGCAAATAAATTTCGTGATAGATAGTAATCATAAATGTGATTATTCAATTAAATCATCAATTAACGTGTTATAATACGGGTCTTTTTTACTGGTAGATCTTCATCTTTACTTCTATTTTTAAAATGTACAGCTCTCAAATGAGAAAAGCAACAAATTTGTTGAAAACTTCATAGCAATTAACAATAATTATATTATACGATTTTATATGTTAATCAAATAACTGAATCATAAAAAATAGAATGTATTGACAAATAGAAGAGTTCTCAAAAGCTAACCCTATTGCGATTTGGGCAAGAAGAGAAATATTATTCTGTCTCAAATATGTTTCAAGTGTTGAAAAAATAAAATAAACATTCGTTGAAATTATTCGAAGATAGCATAGCTGAATTAGTAAATTAAAAAATGATTCAATGACATTTGTACTTGAAGTAAAGCTAAGTAGTAATCGAATTGTGTTCACGCCTGAAATATTCCCTTTGAATTAATTACCAGCTGTTGACTTTATGAATGGCAGTTCGTAGCCGCAAAAGAAAGAATGTGTCTGTTAAGATAAATGTTTTACTCTTTCGTTGAAAATTTAATGATTCACGCGTCATGTTCATTTCTTTATCGGTTCTATTCAAATTTACTCATGATTTATTGAGTGAAATTTTACTTGATAACGTATTCATTCTTATTTATAATTCTAAATAATTAGAATTTTATATTTGACCAAAAAAAAACGAAATATCTCTGATCAAACAAGGCGAAACTTTTTCAATTTTGTTGTAAACAAAAGACAAGCAATACCCTTTTGCATGTATAAAACAATTTTCTCATGCCGATCTTGACGACTTATTTCCTCTCCACAGAGATATTTAACTTATCTAATTTAATTTATTCTTTACCGTGACAATTAACATGTAATTTTCATGGTACTTTGATTGCGTCATTCTATAGCTATTAATTGCCATCAGTTCACGAATACATTCATTTCTCTACGTTTATGAAAATGTACACAAAACAAATTTCGCTCTTACTAAATAAATAGATCTCTTTTTCAGTACATTGATAATTAAATATATGCTATTTGTTCTGATTACAAGGATACTACAGCAAAAAAAAAAGAAGAATATTTAAATCATCGACATCACTTATGCCCCCTAAAAGGCTGACATATATTTTTACTCAACCGGTTGTAACTTAATCTTTTTATAATTACTTATCATGCTTAATCCATCTTTCGCACTTGGAAAAAAAGACAAAGTAATCTCTAACATACAAAATACTTATAAAAATAATAAAGGCAGTCTGGTTCATCAATTTTATCAAGTTTAATAATAATTAACAATAACATAACAATATATCATATTTTCTTAATAAACCTTGACCAAAAATAGAAAAGAAATCTTTTTTCTATTCACAAAAGACATAATATTCTGATCGTCATATTAATTGATAAAAATATCCAATTGATTATACTACTTTTGAGACCGGACGTACTCCCCTCCAGACAAATATTCGGTTTTGCTATCGATAAAAATCAGTAAAATATGTACCCACCAATAGAACACGCTGAACAGTACGCTTCTCTCAACTACGTTGATTAGATCAATTCATACACATTTATACAGTCTGCTGTCATGTAATCTTATCAATATATATAGCTAAATATATATATATGTATAAATACACATTAAAAAAGCTATTCATGCTTGTCAATATAAATATTTGAAAGAGACCCAACAGAAAATAAATTTTGTTTTACTACGAGTTTTACTCAGAAAGAATAAGGAAATATTGAATTTATTGTACACATCGAAAAAGAAACATACTTTTGCATAGCTTGCAATATAGTAATTATAGATATAAATCATTGAACCAATGGCAAAGATATTCAATCGTTTTAATCGTTTGGAATCATTAGAAAATGAGTGAAAGATTATTCATTTATTTTAATATTCAAATCCGCTTAGAAACAAAACAAAAAAAGAAAAATTTATTTAAATTTGAATTTCATCGTTCATTATTTATGCTGGTTTATTTGAATAAAAGAAAACTATATTGTTGGTTATCTAGTCGTTGAATATACAGATACTTTTTCGAAATTCGTCTGGAAATATTTCTATGAGAATAATACTAATCATCGGCAACAACATCGTCGATGATGTTCTAAAGCAATAGCAATGCGTCGTCGTCCCTGTTGCTTGTGTTATTTCTTTTATGGGCATTTTGTTCACCACATGCTTCGCTTTTTGCCAAAATTGCCTTCGCGTTTGAACGAGTTTCAAAAATTTAAAGTAGTAATCTGATAGAAGACACTTTTCTCTATCCGTTCATGTATAATATATTTAAAAAAAAGTTTTAAATCTCAATAAAATAATTAAATTCTTGGCAAATATTCACTAATTCTCATCTTGTTCTTCGTATTTTTACTTATTTTTCTCTATGTTTTTATGATAAAAACGTTTTCTAGTTGATATCATTCGATAGAAAAAAGTCTTCTCTATCGTCTTATATGAAAATAAATTCCGTATACAATTAATTTTTATGAAAATATTTATCATTTTTCGAAGAAGGTTTGAACAATCTTACGTCTATTCGAGTAACAAAAGGTATCCTATGTGCGGTTCGAGTCGATCGGGAGAAGGAAGGAGAGGAAAAAAAGGCAACGACGACGACGCCGACGACGACGCACATATACACCACCAACATTACCACCATCATTCTCATTCATTCTATCGACATCGCCCTATCGCGCGCGCACACACACACACGCAGACAAGTTTTTTTCTGCTTTATATTCACTTCATCTCTTTGAAAGAAATCTTCGAAAAATTCAAATACAATGACTGATACTGCTAATTCAACTACTCTTAATGCATCACAAAATGCATCAGCTAACAACGCTGCTAATACAAAAGGCAAGAAAACAAAATCAAATGCTGGAGCTGCAAGCAAAACCAAAAAAACATCATCAAAAGCTACAAGCAGTCATCCAAAATTTTCGGCAATGATTAAGAAAGCAATAACCGAATTAAAAGATCGCAATGGTAGTTCAAAAGTAGCTATCTTAAAGTATGTCTTAGCTAACTTTAAAGTCAATCCAACAACAGCTAATCAACATCTTAAAGCAGCTTTACGCGCTGGTACAAAAAATCAAACATTAAAACAAACCAAAGGTATTGGTGCAAGTGGAAGCTTTAAATTAGCTGTAGCAGCCAAAAAGACAGCAGCAAAAGTTGCAAAGAAGAAAACAGCTAAAAAATCAACTTCAACAAAACCACGTAGCCGATCGAAAACACCAGCCGGAGCCAAGAAATCTGGTGATGCCAAAGCCAAAAAGCCACGATCACCAAGCAAAGCTAAATCAACTGATGGTGCCAAGAAACGAAAAAGCTCAGCTTCGCCAACTAAGAAACCAGCAGCAAAGAAAGTAGCTGCTGCTCCAGCTGTTGCTAGTGCAGCAACTCCTGCTGTTGTTGCAACAAAGAAGGTTGAAAAAGTTGCCAAAAAGGCCAAAACAGGTTAGTGAATGAAAAGTAAAATTTAAAAAAGAAACTGAATGTTTAATAATATTTTCTTTCTAGCTGGTACAGTTAAACCTAAAGCAAAAGCACCAGCCAAAGCAAAAGCTGCAGGTAGTGCTAAAGCTAAAAGTCCAAAGAAGAAAGCAGCACCAAAAAAGAAAGCTGCAAGCAAACCCAAAGCAAAAGCTGCTTCACCAAAAAAATCCGTTAAATCAGCAACCGCAACGCCCGCTGCAACTGCAACGCCCGCAGCTGCTGCTACAGCTACAGCTACAAATACATCTACCGTTACCGTAGCAAAACCAGCAAAAGCTGCACGTAAAACTACAACAAAAAAAGCGAAAAGTCCAAAAAAAGTCACCGCAAGCAAGAAATAAATGAAGTTTATTAGAAAAACTGTACATATTTACTATAACATCTATTTTTTCGTGTGTGTGGATCCTGTAGACATATCTTCTTTCTATATCTCATCATGCATTGCAGATAATACGCTCCTTATGTCGTTTTCTATTCTTCTTGATGTTGTTTTGTTTCATTTTTTTTTCTTCTCTTTGTTTTGTATGTAAGGCGTCTTATGAACGCCGAGACTACTATTTGCTATATTACTATTACTATAACTATAACTATAGTCGTGTGTTATCCTTACTTTTTCGCTGCTTCTATGTGTGTGTATATATATATAGACGTACATTCTTTTGCCTGTCTCGCCGCTGCTCGAGATGAATAAAAACGTGAAAAAATAAACGTTCATACTTGATTAGGCACATGAGAAAAGTTGTCGCAACGATATGATCTTGTGAAAAAGAAAACTGCATTATAAATATGATAAAAACTGTTTAAGTAACTTTTTAATGCATCGTCTCACATTAATACGTATATCAATGAATGGAGTCGATTGACTTCAAAGTGGTGTTATTGTACTGAAATGATTTAAAGAACGAATAGCGGCTCATCTCTTTTCATATCTTATCTTTCGAGTTCAAATCGAATGAACGCAAGAGAAGGTCAAAGATATTTCATTTTTTTCTTCTTTTATCATCAAACAAAACTTTACGAGAATATCTAAACATGCAATCGAATGAATAACAAGAAAAAAGTGAATCGAAAGACAAGAAAAATGCAAGAATGTGAACGTAAGCTTGAACAAATATATTGCACATGGACCTTGTGTTCAACGTTGTAGTTAAATATTCATGTGAGAAGCTTCTTTTTCTATTTTTTTCCACTTGAATTCAATGGCAAATCAATTTTACTGAGCGTATTGCATTCGTTGGAAGAGTTAAAAGTTCATATTGGCTGTTATTAATAACTTTTGCTTTTTGAGATATTCTCTAAGATTTTTCTTGATTGTGTCATTCCATCAGATTATTTAATTGAATATCTTCAAAGCTGATCTTTAAAATTAGGAAGTTAATACTTTGATAATATCATATGATAAATAAATGGCTTCTTAAATTTTAGTGACGCACATTTTTCAATTTTATGTGCTTATTTTTTTCCTACTTTCTTCTTTCACTCGATTGATATCTTTATTTTCTATCTATTGAAGACGCGCAGTTAACTATTCGAGCAATCGAAAGGTTGCTATCTATGCAAAATGAAAATCATTATTAATCGATTTTCAAAACGTTTGGATTTGTGTGTAATTGAAGTTTAAGTTCATTCTTACTTACTGCATTCATTTCTAATTGCTTTCGAAAATATATAATCAACTAGAGTAACAATCAGAGAGCTCAATATCAGATCAAATTGAGTTTACGCTAAATATATTACTCATAAATAATTTTAGATCGTTAATTTTCATACAGAAGAATAATATTCAATCTATCCCAAAGCTTTAGGCTGCCTTGTTCTACATCATATTCTGATAATAACAGACTGATACTGTAATGAAAAGGTCTTATTTAACAAAGAAAACAAGAGAATGTAAAGTTTTTATTATTGTGAAAGAGTTGCTTCTAATGTGATGAAGATAAAACTAAAAAGAATAATATTTCGTTTAACAAGATGTGTTTGTTTGGCAATTTTTATATTTGAAATAAGCATCATTAGCCAGAAACAAGAAACAAAGAAAAAAAAACAAAAGGCAGGCTCTTTTCGATTTTTTTTCTCATTTCACAAATATCGCAAGTACATATGAAGTAGGAGAAGAAGAAGAAGCAAATAACGAAAAAAAAAATAGAACCAAAAAGAGAAAAGAAGAAGAATTTCAGTCAAGCCGAGCAAAGTAACATGAACAAGGTTTCGAGTTTGCCCATAGACAAAAAGTCAAAAGAAAAAGCTAGTAGTAATGAACAGAAGAACGTAAAATAGAATCACTGTTGTACAAATATGTTTAAATAAGAATATTAGTTTTTGGTTTTTAGGAATGAAATATAGTAAATAATTAAACGCTTATAGGTAACAAAAGAATGAAGGTTGTTATCGTTGCCTAACGCTCAAAAAAAACAAAATATATGTACATTGAATAAATAAAGTTTAATGTTTGTTTATATATATCTAGTCTCGTAAGTAGATGACATCTCGCACTTCATTAAAAGAGATTTATCTGATCATATCATAAGAGAGATCATAGTGAAAATGAAAAGAACCGAATGAATAATATAAGAAAGTTTAAATTCTCAATTTAACCACGCCCGATGTAAGTTGACTGTTATTATCATCTGGTGTGGAATTATTTTTATTTGATGATGATGTTGCTGTTACTGCTGACGGATTATTTGCTTTTGAAATATGTTCACGCATTGTTCGAATAAATTCATCACCAAAACCTGGATAACGTAATTGGGCATTTTCAAATATATGACGTAAATGTTGAAATAATTCAACACCATTCTGAGGATTACGGATTAAACCATTTGATGGATTATTGTTCGATGTTGTCGGGATATTAAAACGAATAGCAAGCTATGAGAAATAAAGAAAGAATATTTTTCATTAGAAATAAATTTTCAAAATAAGATTTTTTTTTCAATTTAATTTACATCGTCAAATATTGTTTTGAATAATGGATTAAGTTCAATGGATTCAGGAGACTAAAAAGATGGAAAAAAACACAAAATTACAGTTTAAATTCAAGCAAATACATTTTCATATAAATATAAAAGACTGATTGGATGGGTGAAGTCATGATCTTTAATATGACTTTTATATTTACAACAAACTTCAGAAAGTAGACATGAAAAAGAAATCAATAGTCGAATGTTGAGAAGTCAATAACGATATAGATGAGTCAGAATAATTCTATAGAGACAAAAAGAAAAAAATTTCCTTTCATTACTCTGCGGAATTTTTGTTAAAACCTCATGAGATTATAAAGCATTCAAAAGTCAAATCAAGATATTTTAATTACTTTGGGAAAACAAAATTCTCAAATAGCCTGAACGTAACGCAATATACAGAATTTTGTAAGTTTTTGTGTTTCTTAGATTAGGAGTATCATAAGAAAATAGCATCCATCCAGATCTATTCTCATATTTATGGTCTTAAAATATTACATTTATAGCTTTCAATTACGACTGTTAGTATTTTGTCTATCGAGCGACGATATGATTAATCGATTGTATATCATGAAAGAGCATCTGTTTAGTAACAAATCGATAATCTTTTCTTTTTTTGCATCGGTTATTTATTCTAAAACTGTCAAATCGCAATTGTTCTCTAATACATCGGATTTTATTCTTAATCGATCGGTCCTAATGCACCAGAGTTAGTGTTGAGCCAACCATTGGGACAGTCTACGTAGGCATTAACTATAGCACTCTTATGGTTAAGTAAGAACAATGCTATTTCATTATGGAAGCGTGAAATGATCTCATAAATGAATCATCGTATGTCCATGTCTAGTATGACACAAAGTTAACTTGAGTATTCATTTGATCTTTTTATATCTTCATAACGCTATTCATCTACTTCTCAAGAATTCCTTTCTTTATGAATTATAAATTATTCTAGTGAATAATGTATGATGAGATATTTCTACTGACGGCTACTTTCGAATTGAAATCAAGCTTGACGCGTCTTGCATCGATTCATGATGAATCATTGTTATTGTTGAAATCTCTATCAACATGAAAGACCATAGAACAGCTGCAGGCTGCTGTCGATAAAAGGTTATTTGTAATGCTCGTTTTTACTGTCTAGTATATCTAATGCAGATTTTAGCATGATAAACATGTGTTATTTACTGGTTTTTATTGAAAACTAAACAAATTTATAAAAAAAATTTTCATATTATTCCTAACGAATATATCAAATATGACCCGAATAGTTATGAAAACTTTTGTTGTTTTCATACATGTGACGAAAAACTACTCTACGAATTGATGATGTCTGTAGTATTATTTCTCAATCTCCTAAAAATGAGAACAATCAATTTCTGTTACTAAATCAATAACAAATAAAAAATTACATTGTTTTTCAACTCATCATTTTTAACGAAAGAATGATGAAAACAAGTATATTTCTTTTACGATTCTGCCGCTGATTGAAATTTTTACAGAATACTTTCTTGGAAGTGTTTCAACTTCATAGTTTTCTTACTACATAAGGCTACTGTTTCGGAACAAGTATAAAAATGATGTAACAGAACAATGGCATAACCAGAAGACTATGAATGTTATGACAGTAGCATATGATCTTTGTAGGAAATCGATGTAATAGTATCAATGAAGGTAATTATTATGTTTTGCTTTCCTTTTGATAGTGCTACGCTGCAGGATCTAACCTACTCCTACTTGCGACACTAGAGCAAAAGTGAAATAGTTAATCATTCTTCTAACTCTAAATTTCCATATATATTTGTGTGCACATAACGTTATTAATACTATCTACTTCTCATTATCCATAAATAATAATTCCTATGAAAATCAAAATGCATTTTCATCAAAATTCCCGTACCGCATAAAGTCCATTTGTTGATGATAATCTAACGGTATCATCGCCCTCAAATTTCCATCGAAATGTTTTATCCTTTGGTCTAAAGACAAAAAATACATTTGCTTTTTGTATTATATTATTAACAATCGCTGAAAAGTGATTTTTACGCGTCTTCGTCCGAACTTGATCCACTGTCCGATCCGGTACCATTTCTATGACTTTCTTTCCATCGTCTGTAGCGGTCAATTAATTCAACTAAAAATCTAGTTGATTTATTTAATGATACAAATTTTAATCGGCGCAATTGTTGAGCAGTTGGTCTCTATATTCAACAGAAAAAATAAATAAATATCTTCGAAAGGAAAAATCAATTCTATTCTAAATACATGTTCAGGATTCTTTTGTAAACATGCTTCAACGAATTCTCGAAACAATTTCGAATAATTTCCAACTAATGGTGGTGGTGGATTCTTCGGAATTTGTAATAAAACTCTCATTGGATGTAAATCAGAGTAAGGTGGTTCACCTTTTGCTAATTCAATAGCTGTTATGCCAAGTGACCAAATATCTGCCTAGAATAAATGAGAGAGACAGAGAGAAAAACTTCATTAAATAAAACATTAATTATGTCTTATTCGTACTGAATAATCATATTTATGTTGCATGATAACTTCGGGTGACATCCAAAATGGTGTTCCAACAAATGTATTTCCTTTATTAATTGAATCTGTTAATTGTTTCGCAACACCAAAATCAGCCAATTTAACATCACCATTTTCTGATAAAAGAACATTTGCAGCTTTAATATCACGATGAATTTTCTTTTCCGAATGTAAATATTCAAGACCTTTGAGTACTTCGCGTAAAATTATAGCAATATACTGTTCATCAAATGGACCTGGTTTCATGAGATCAAGTGCTGAGCCACCACCAAGATATTCCATAACGATCCATAGTTTAGTTCCCTTTAAGTAAACAAATAGTTTTATAGGAAACAAAAGGTGTGCGTTGTTTTTTTCGCTACTTTTAAATAAGAACCAAAGTATTTTGTTATATATGGCGAATTACATTGAGAAAGTACTTGAATTTCTTGTTGAATATCTTCGATTTCATCCTCAGCTTTTTCCAAATCAATTATTTTAATTGCAACGACATTAGAAGATTTTTTATTTATGCCTTTGTAAACTTCCTGCAAAAAAAAACAACAAATAAATAAATAAACAAATAAATAAATAAATAAAATAAATTCCTTACTCCGAATGATCCACGACCGATATGATCATGTCGTTCAAAGATTTCTTCAGGATCAACTTTACTCTAAACAAAAATAAATATTTTGTTTTTGCTTTTGCTTTTGTTTTAAATATTTATCTATATGAATTTACCTGTTGTTGAGATATATGTGAAGCGACAATCATTGAAACTATACCAACGATAATATTAACTTTATAGTTTATTGATGTTTTTTTTATTGCTAACTTACATTTATTTATTGTTTGTTAAAATCTTGAGTATTAATGTTGTTCCGCATAAGAAACGCGAACGCTTATCTTTTATTCGTCGTTATACAGGATTTTCGGTGTGTGCATTGAATGAGAGAGAGACAGAGAAATAAATATACAAAGCCAAACACACCTTCGTTTGTTCGTTTGTTCGTTCTTCGATGATGATATAGGTTTACTTAGCTGAAGAGTATTTAGCTGGTTAATAGTTCATTGGTTACATACATCGACCAAACAAATGCGAAGACAACAAGTAGATGTTGCGCTGCTGTTGATAGTGAAAAAAGAGGGATTTGGTCTGCGTTTTTCTTTTGTTGATAATAAATATTCGAATTGCTATGTAGTTTTAAATTAATAATTTACTAGTTGTTCAAATTATCATTAAAACTTATTTAAAACATTTTAGACAACAATGATTTATTTTGTTCAATCGCAGTTAAAAATTAATAAATTAAATGGAATAATCAAGTTTTGTTTGAATCCTAAGCCTTTTGGTGTTATTCAATGTCTTTCATAATCTTTTTTTTGTGAGTTTTCCTTAATATTCAGGTTTTATATCATTAGCTAATATTTGAACTTTTTCTCTACTTGTGAGACCGATGATTTTACATAAACAAATATTTTCGTTTAGCCGTGAACGAAACTGAATCAACAAAAACATCCGTATTCAAATGACCTATAATTTTCTACTTATCAGAGTACATTGTTTAATGTCTAACATTGAGCACGTTGCAAACGAGTGAGTAAATATAATCGATACCGTGAAAAATAACATATAATTGTTGAATTCTCACCATGAATAAAAATTAATTATTATATCGTCACTTGTTCAACATACCCCAAAACACTCATAAAACAGCATGAATCAATTGTTTAAAAAGTAAATGGTAAAATTATTTTATTTCTTTTTTCCATATTATTCAAACTGTTTGTTCTTTTATTTGTAGGAAACCATCATGAGATTATTCATCAATACAATAATAAATGTATTTTTTTTTCTAGTAAAATTAATTTGAAGATAGAAAGGATGAGAATACACACACAGTCTTTAAAAAATACACCTTAGAAAAAAAATCATCATTTTTGTTGAGTCACTTCAAGAAATCTAGTGAGTTTGCTCAAAACAAGACAGGAGACGTGAATAACATTAGAAATACTTTTCAAAAATTATTTTAGAAGCAGATTGAAAATCATATAAGTTAGCATGGAAATTACAAAACGAAAAACAATCGATAATCTTCATAGTGTTCATGAAGAAAAGTCTTTATTGAGTTGTGTTATCACTAAGGCAATAGTACTATTATACAATTATTAGGCTAAACCAATCATCAAGAAGCTTCTTGTTTTTTCTTTAGAAGAGTTTCGTGTTATGTAAATAATTTATTTACAAAATTTTCAATGAAAACTAATGCGTATATGATACATAGGAAATCATCTGATTGAATTAATAAATGAGGACTGATAAAGGGAATTAATTAATTCAAAATTAAAGCTTCTGCAGCATTATTTTTCAATACTTTGAAATGGATGGATTTTGAGACTCATAATTTCTTTTACAAGGTGAACTTTTCAGACATCTTGTCCCACAATCATGAAAAACTTCTGTTATTTCCCCGTGGCATCACAAATTCTAGTTGCATTCTTCTGGGAAAATATGTGTATACCTTTCTGAAAAACCCAGGTATCCTCGATGCTCACTGTCTCGAGTTAGTTCTAAATGTTTTGCAACTAAAATTAATTTTCATCTTATTTCTATGTTAATTTTATGTCACATACAAAAAAAATGAAAATATAATGATATTTGCTCTAGATAAAAAGAATTGTATTGTTATGGAAGACGAACAACAAGCAGAATTAATTGAAGAATGTAATGTTTTAGTAAGTTATTCTATTATACATTCATATGTTGACCTATAGTTCTAATTAAATAGTAATAACAAATGTTCTATTTGTAAAAATTGAACTAGTTGTAAGAAGTCAAGTGTCTTCTGTTGACAATTATTGAGAAATACGAAAGAAATCTTAGTTCTTTGTTATATGATCACTTTGTTTTCCTTTCATTTTTAGCGTCGTGAATTAAGTGATTTAATGACAAATGATTTTGACCGGGTTCTTAAAGAAATAAATGATATTCTTAAAGTACTTTAAATATTTTCTTAATATGTCTTCATTTCTAATTCTATTAATCTTTTTTTCAGAATTCCATTCGTTCATTGAAACGTCCCGATGATTGTAAGCTTCTTTAACATTTCTAAAAAATCTTTAAATATTCTCGCTCATATTTTTCAAGCCACAGAGTTAACATCATCGGAAGCTACTGCTAAGCCAATCCTATTGTCATTAACTCATCCTCAGTATAACTCAAATTTATTAAAATCAATTTAAACATAATTGTCTTTTTCGCTCTTCAGAAGCAGTGAAATATTGAAATGTACTGTAACTTTATTTGGCTCAGATTTAACTACAGCTGTAAATAACAAGAGATGTGTATCTATAGTATTATTATTATTATTATTCATTTCTAGGAAGTTATTTATAAAGCTGGAACTAAAGTTCAACCACCAATGAACACTGCATTTCGAACAACTATAGCAACGCAACAAATGAAATATTGGTCACTTCAACAAGTAATAGAAAGAAAAGCAATGATTGTGGTTTTGAGTATGAAAAACTAAAAGTCGATTTCATTTAGCTACATGAATGTTCACAACATCTTGAACGTGCATTAGGTTATCTTGCATGTGCTGATTTTGATCGTAACATTTATCAGTTACATAAAGCAATACAATATCTTGATTTAATAATCGATTCTGTCAATAGTGCAAAAGATAATATTTTATTACCAAAGAAAAAACGTATTGATGATTTAAGACGAAGCAGAAATACGGTAAGAAAAACACAAAAATAATGATTTTATTGTATGTAATTGAATTAAAATTTTCTTTGATGTCTACAGACGATCTTTTCGCCATCAATACCAGAAAATATGGCATTTAGTTTTTATGTTCAAGGTTCAAAATTATCATTTGCTGTTTATCATACAAGTGTTCAAGGAAAATCAAGTGGCTATTTTAAACATTTTGTATGTTATCAAATTAAAGAAATGATGAAAATAATACTTACAAATATAATATTTTCTGTTTTTTCATTATTTAGATTGAAGCTAATGTACCTGCACTTGCTGATTTATTAAATCAATTGTCTTATATTCTTTTACAATTACAACAGCTTAGAGATAAAGTAAATTTCTTTTTTTTTGTAATTCATAAATTTATAAAAAGTCTTATTGTTAATTTTAGTTACGTGTTTTCGACGAATATCAAGATGGGTCCGATTGGAAATTAATGGAAGAAAAACAGAAAGAGACTAATATTCTTATGACAATGTTTTAATTTCTTTGTCTTTCTTTTTAACTAAATTATGTCAAGTGTAATAAATATTCTTATATATATTGTTGATCGTACATCTAATTCTAGATGATAGTTACAAAAACTACTTATCTTCTAGTTCGTTTTGTTAATATTGCAAATAAACATGTACTCTCTCGTTGTTCTTTATCAACAGATCGTTCTGAATCCATATCAACAGCATTAAAACAATTTTACTTAAAAGTTCATCCAGATTTATTTACTCAATATCCAAAAGAAAAAGTAATTTAATAGAAGAAAAATAAAAGAATTAGTTTTAAGAAAACTAATTATATCTTTACTTTTATGATTGAAGGATGTTAATGAGAAAAGTTTACAGTTGGTTAGTGCCTATCTTTCTGGATTACAACGTAACGAATATATGGCATCAATCAGTGTTACTTTCTTTACGAAACTACCGCCGAATTTACCTCCACGTGGGTTTTTTGTTTTCTTAGAAAACTTGATTCATAATCATTCAATTGGATATTTTTCTTTGTTCAATTTTAGCTGCACTAGCTCAGTTAGTTCCTCATCGTATTACACTCACGTCAAAAGATCTGTTAACAAGCGTAAATAGTATATTAGCCGCCTTGAAACTGCCTACTGTGAATAAACCAAAAGAAAAAAACCAAGCTGATCAATATGATATTCAATTTAAAATAATTGAAATTGAAAAATTTTATGATTTTACAAAAATTCCTAAAATATCAATCAAGTAAGAACAAAAACAAATTCTGATCATTGTATCAAAATTTGATCTAATGGATTTGTTACATTTCTATTAGAACATGGCTAACAAACAATGTCCAAGCAGCTCGTGTTATAGCGAAACGAAATCAAGAATTACTCAGTGAAATCAATGATAAAGTTAACAGTATTAAAGAACGCTTTAAACTTCAATCGATTGAATATAGTAATGATTGGTCTGTATCACAATTTTTTATTTGTTTACGAACATTACTTTTATATGCTGATAAATGGCATGAAAAACTTCTGACATTGCAAGGTATTCATTTCTATAACAATATTTTTGTTTAATGATTAAGTTACTAAATTATTCTAGAGAAAATGTTCACTTGAACTTAAGCAAATTCTCGCTTTGTTGGAATTTATTTTCATTCAAACGATATAAATTATTCTTTTCTAATTTATTAATAAAATTATTGAGATATAAACTTATGGATACTAAAAATACTTTTTGAATTATTTATTTTCATTTGAAAAATATATTTATATATATTTCAAAGTAAAAAGAGTGTTGAAAATATTTTCAAGTAGAAATTACTCTTTTTTTTATTACTTTCTTTATCTTATCTTTTCTTGCAGAGCTCGGTCTGACTAAAATTTCGTGTTCTTCTGTTTTCTTTTCAAATTACTTTAACCTATATTCATTTCATTTTGTTAATAAAATCTAGGTAAACGACTGATATTTGGAAATAAAACATGTTTACTTCAAGATGGTTCACTTGAATTAAGTGCTAATGATCCGCCTGTTTATTGGGATCATGTTATTTGTTGTGAATTGACTGATTCCGATAAATATATGGAAAGAATTGCTTCATATGAAGATACTATTCGTCAATATTTTCATGGTATTGAAATTCGAAGAGATCCTGATTCCGAACATTTATGTGGAGCTCATATGTATCTATATAATCTTTTACAATTAAGTCATCATCTTGATTTAAATCGTCATCATGAAGCACATAGAAAAATATCTTGGGAAAATTTTCATTTATTCATAAATCCGTCTAGTTCGGAGCCATCGTTAACTAATAGCGGATATTTTCAAATAAATGCCTATGATGCAACTATGGATATATTAGACTTTATGATTGATAATAGAGAAAAAGCTAAACAAACAAGAGATTCATATGAAAAAGATCTTGAAAAAGGAAATAGTTTACTTGAAAAACTTGAAAAACAATTTAATTTAACTGAAATATTAATAAATCAAAGAATAAAAAGAAGTGATATTAATCAATGTTGTCAACGCTTATTGAATGAGCGAGAACATTTATTAAATGTTCTAACAAAATGTCGACTTAAAATTGATAAAAATTATAATTTAGCACAAAATGGGACCATATCAATACCTTGGGACTGGTCATTAACACAAGAAGAAACAATTTGATTTTATACTTATTTTTTTAATAGCAATAAATTTACTGTATTTTTTTTGCAAACTATTTAAAAACTAGACCATGCCTGAGTTTTCTATTCTTTTAGATATGCTTCGCTTTGTCGGCCGTGTTGCTATTGTTACGGGCGCTGGCAATGGTTTAGGAAAGGTATTTAAACATAATTAACTATAAGAAAATCTAAAAGAGATTTAATATTTTTTAGGAATATGCACTTGCATTTGGTCAACGTGGTGCGAGTGTTGTTGTTAATGATTTAGGCGGAAGCACATCAGGTGACGGTGGTCCCTCATCTCGGCCAGCAGATGAAGTTGTTAAAATCATTAAATCGCATGGTGGAAAAGCTGTAGCTGATTATAATTCCGTTGAAGATGCAAAAGCTATCATACAAACTGCAATTGATAATTTTGGTCGTGTTGATATTCTTGTAAGTTAACATCAAGTAAACTATTTCAATTTGTACGAATCAATTGATATGGATTTGTTTTTATTTGCAGGTAAATAATGCTGGCATTTTACGTGATAAAAGCTTTATGAACATGACAGAACAAGATTGGGACCTTGTACATCGTATTCATTTACGATCAGCATATTTATTAACACATGCAGCCTGGCCGCATATGCGAAAACAAAATTATGGCAAAGTTATATTTACTACATCCACATCGGGCCTTTACGGAAATTTTGGACAGGTTCGATTTATATCTTTGTAGAAGAAAAACAAATCTTTATTTAATATCTGTCTCCATAAGCAATGTTCTATATAGTAGAGAAAAAAGTTTAGTAATCTCAAAGGTCATTTATCAAAGGTATATATACGTATATATATATTGTGCATAATCGGCCAATTATGCAGTAAAACAAATCTTTCTAATGTCGATACATTGAGATTGAGTGACATAAATTTTTTTTTCTATAGAGCAGTTTTTACGCATAATTCGAGTTTATTAATTATTAACGTAAAAAACGATGAGATTTCAAATCAAGCGTGCAAACGAGTGATAGAATATAAATAAAACTAAATCGTATAGAGATATTTTTCATTATAGGTAAGCCTAGACTTATCAATAATATATAGTTCGACTATTGCAGTTTTGCTGTTAGCCAATATTTATACTAGGACGAATTAATACCAAATATCATTCAATGTCAAATGGTATTGTTAATGTACCGTGCCTAATGTCAATATTTTATCTCTTTTCAGTGCTAATACAAACATAAACGTTAGCATTCTATGTTCAGTGGATAATATGTTAGTGAATAGAAAACAATTACTTCTTTCTAAATGTCACATACTTAATATTGTTTATTTATTTCTCGTGTAGTTAAATACCCATAGAACATATTATGTACTTGAAAAAGATTCGGCACATTAGACTTTATTTTACAAACAGAAAAAGAAAACTTAAAAACAAACATTTTTTTATTTCTAGGCAAACTATAGTTCTGCTAAAATGGGTTTAGTTGGCCTATCAAATACTCTTTCACTTGAAGGAGCTAAATATAATATAACATGTAATGCTATAGCTCCAACAGCATTTTCACGTTTAACTCAAGATCTTCTACCGCCGGATGCTGAAGAAAATTTAAAACCAGCTTTCGTTATGCCACTTGTTCTTTACTTATGTCATGAGTCATGTGATGCTACAGGTTCTCTATTTGAAGTAGCTGGCGGTTGGATGGGTAAAGTTCGCTTGGAAAAATCTTCTGGTGCAATGGTACGTCGTCCGAATACACCAATGACAGTTGAAGATGTACAAGCTAATTGGAATGATATTATAAGTTTTGCTACACCACTCTATCATTCCACACAAACTGATCAAGTATCACATATATTAGATTCAATAAGAAAAATCAATAATAAAGATGAAGACAAAGGAAATGAAGTTTTTACTCAAACATATTCTTATACATCGAATCAAGCTATTTTATATGCACTTGCTGTCGGCTGTTCGTTGCGTCAACCGAATTCATTACGTTTTCTTTATGAAAATCATGAACAATTTTCTGTTTTACCCACTTTTGCTGTCATACCTTGTCAATCGTTATCAATGAGTGTAATGTCTTCAGGAAAACTTGGTTTTGATATTGATCTATTGCGAGTAAACTTCATTTGAATTCGAACAAAACAAATCAAATCAAAAGTTCTTTTATTTCTATATTTATCATAGGTTCTTCATGGTGAACAATATGTGGAATTATTTCAACCATTGCCAACATCGGGTACAGTTACATTGAAAGGAAAAATTGTCGATGTACTTGATAAAGGTTCTGGTGCTTCAATTATCTATGATAGTATGAAAAATTAATACGAAAAGAAAATTTTTCATTCTAATTTATTTTTTATTTATAATCTATTTTCTAGCCGAAATGTTTGATGAAAACGGAAAATTAATTGCTCTCAATCAATTTGTGATTTTTTCTGTTGGTTCAGGTGGTTTTGGTGGTAAAAAGACAAGTGAAAATCAACGTCCATCTTTGCCAGCACCAAAACGAAAACCTGATCAAATTTGTCGTGAAACGACAACAATTGATCAAGCAGCACTCTATCGTTTAACAGGTGATGCCAATCCATTACATATTGATCCATCGTTTGCAGCAGCAGCTGGTATGGCGCAACTTGTTATTTTTGTGTATGCTTAAAAAACAATGTTAACATTCTTTTTTACCAAGGCTTTTCGCGTCCCATTCTACATGGTTTATGTTCATTTGGCTATGCTGCAAGACATGTTTTACATACATATGCAAATGATGATTCAACATTATTTAAAGCTATTAAAGTAGTGAAAAAGCAAAAAATTTAAATTATAATAAATAAATTGATTTCTAGGTTCGTTTTACAAAACCTGTTGAACCTGGTCAAACAGTTGAAACACATATGTGGCGTGAAGGCAATAGAATCTTTTTCGAAGCAAAGGTTTGTTTCTATTTCTTATAAAATTGAAGCTGCTTAGTATTTTTCTTTTTCTTTTTCAAATAGGTACCAGAATCAAATCAAACAGTTCTTACTGGTGGATATGTTGATTTACACGATGTAGTACTTAATACAGCGACACCAGGAACTGCTGAGGTACGAATGAAAAGAAAAAAAAAGATTAAATATCAGCCTCATCTCTTGCATTTGATATCTCCAAAGTAAATAAAGAATAAAAAAAGAAGTTTTTGAGATAGTATTACAAATGATTTAATATCTTTGAAAGTAACACATCTTTTTCTTTTCTCATATATCATAATGACCAAAGCGGTAGCAACATATATAAAAATTAAAAACTTTTGAATTCTTTCTTTTTTGTTTTCTACTAGGAAAATTCCCAGAGTTCAACCTCATCAGGCGAAGGATTAAAAGCTCAAGTAGCTTTTGATGAAATAAATAAGCGTGCTAAAAGCCAACCCGACCTTGTGAAAAAAGTCGGAGCTGTCATTGTATTCGATATAACAAAGGATGGCAAGGTTCAACAAAGTTGGAGTAAGTGATATACAAAAAATGTCATGCACATAGATATTAAATATTTATTTATTTTCTTTTTCATTTTCAGCTATAGATGGGAAAAAAGGAGCAATTTATGAAGGTAAACCAGCAGCAGGAACAACAGCTCAAGTTACAATTACAGTTGCTGATGATGATTTCGTTGATTTGGCTTTAGGCAAAGCGAATGCTCCTGCTGTATGTACTAACATTTAAAATTTATTCTATGCTATAAAAGTATATTCTTTTTGCAGCTTTTTGCCAAAGGTAAATTGAAAGTAAAAGGTAACGTGATGTTAGCACAAAAGCTATCGGCATTATTCAAAGATCAAGCGAAATTATAAAATGCAGAACCATAACGATGGAGCTTTCAAAGTTTACTTCTTCTTCTTTTTTTGATTCTAACGATTCAAGATTTTAGTTCTTTTTTTATTATTATTATCATTGTGATTAACGCAAATAAATTTCTTTCTTTCTTTTTTTTTTCCAAATAAATATGTATCAATAGATGATTAACTTTTTCTTGTATTGATTACATCTGTTATTCATAGAAGAGAAACGGTGATAAATATAGCAAGTCCTTTTTTATCTGGCTGGTTTCAAGAGAAATTTTGCTAGATTCAATACTACGGTATAATTAAGTATATGTGTGTTTGCATTTATTCTATTTTTAATATGATAAATTGAATGGTTTTTCGTAATTTTATATATTTGTATTGTGCATTTTACATGACAATCGATATTTTTCTTATTATACTCATGTTACAATAGGAGCATAAACGAAGAAGAAAATAGATATTATTGAATCTAAACAAGGGATGCAATAAGAATGGCGAAAAAACATATAGCTACTAACGTATGTGAGTCGTTGAAGTAAGGATTATCACAGAAGATAATGATCTTTGCGATAATAAAGGAAACAGATGATAAGAAGAGAATACTATGTACATCGTTTCTTATCATCGGCAATACTATAAATCTAGAAGTATTTATCAGAACTACTTGTACTTTATTCCTTGTTTTGTTTTTGTATTATTGACAGTTATAGATTTACTTTTTAACCATTGTTCTTTATTATTATTCTTATGATCATCATCAATATAAGAATCGTTTTTTTTCAATAAATATCTATTTGCCTAGAATATCTATCAATTCAACTTTGAATTCACTAGTAAAAGTAGACCAGGAGCTACATAATACTATATATATATATATATAGTATATACATGAGATTTATTCTATCAATAACGAAACAATGGGATCGCATCAATGAATATAATAATTTGTTTTTTGTTATGTGCTCGTGAAATGAGACTACCTGCTAGAAATGGTTTGAATGAAAGGTTTGAATATAAAATAAGAAAAACCGGGTTATTGGAGTAGACATTGATCGATAGGAGTAGCATTTTTTTGCCTGTGACATTTAAAATTGAAATAGAACAACAAATAAAACACAAATGCGTATACGAGAGATGAATGATGAAAATAGCTCGTTGTACATTGTATTTCATTTCTATCATTGTTGTCGTTCGCTACACAGATCGGATCTTGTTGTCATCATCTCGTGCCTTTCTATTCGTTTACTTTTTTTTCTGCTCTTTATTCATTTATTTTCCGTCTCTCTTTGTGTCTGTCTTTATTTCTCTCTCCCTCTCTGTGAAATAAGAATAAAGGCCGTAATAATAGCAGCAGAGACCAATTTATCATGTTTAGTGAATAGTAGAAGAAGAAGAAGAAGAAGAAGGAGAAGAAGAAGAACAGCGGTTATTTGAAATCCAGTACACATAATCGTAGATTATTTTCTGCTTTGTTTTGTTTTCGATTGCGTATGACTGATTTCGACTCTAGTGGACATTGCTGGTCGTGGCGTAGCTGTTTTACAACTGTGAAACATAATAAGAGAACAATAAAGAAACGACAAAGTCTTGAATCATAGTAAGTCTATTATGATAATCTTTATTTATAATAAACAGATTTGAAAGTTCATAAAATTATATACTACTTATAAATAGTCTGACTTTTTCATTTCTATTTATAGTCACGAAAAACTTTCTTTAAATGATCACATAAATAATAAAATTTCGCACTGTGTTGATGAAAATTCAAATTTTTTGTACGATAGTAGTTCACCAGCGAAAAATTCAATATCAAATGAACATGAACATTATGTAAAATCAAATATAAATAATATAAAAACTGGTTCGTTATCAAATGATGAGAGATATCATTTCACCGAAAATCATAACGTACAACAAACCATTGATGATATTAATACAAAAACAATAAATCAAAAGTCATTACCAACCGTACGAACAACACATTTAGATGTTATTGCCGAAGATTCAAATGAAGAAAATTCCGACGAATATGATGAAACAACACAATCATCCAGGTACATTGTCAACTGTTTTTGTTGTTGTTTTTAGATGATTTTAATCTAGAAATATCATTATTTTTCTTCGATTTTATTATAGATTATATTACGATAGTGAATTGATTAATGATGCCAATGGTCTTTATCTTCGTTTATTTGATTTAAGTAAAACAGGTCATATCACAATACAGTTCGATGATAATCGTTATTTACTCCAAGAATTCATACGTCAAATCGATAAATTAAAAATTAGCATAGACGATACTAAGCGAGCTAGTATCGAACTACCACGTTATGCTGAATTAGTTGAAGCAAGGTAAATAAAAATTAAAGCAAATAAAATTATAATTTATTCTTGATAGTTTCATCTCTATATAGATATTCAACATTATTAGCTACTATTGAAAGTCTTTCACTTTTATTAAAAATTGGTCAAATTTCGTCATATTATTCTTTTGTTAATCATCTTATATTTTCGATTGAACAAAGAATTGAACAATTGAAAAAATATGTTAAACTATCGTCATCAAACAATCTACGTCAACAACGGCAGGATCTAAATGATGATGATTTTCTGTCATATCGTAGTGCACTTTCATCATATGAACATCTTCTAACGATGCCATTATGATATTTATTTATGTTTATATATTTATATTTATATATACTAATATTTCAATATTGTGTTTTGTTTTTAATACGGAAAAAAATCATCCTTTCTTCTGTTGAAATGATTTTTATCAAATACATAAACTAAACGAAAATATGTCTAGCGGTTGCTTTCACTGGCTAATCATTTTTCATACACTCGCCATCCACTGATTGTTGTATATATTAAGAATTCTCTAACATATATATGTATGTATGGCATCGCATTCGATACACATATTCTTCTCAACTAATTGCTATTGGTTCTAATATTTCTTATCTAAATACGAGTCAGTCAACGAAGAAAGTTCGAGTAGATTAGCAATCTAGACATGTGTCGTTTTCTATAAAATATTCCAAGAAATATTTATGTCATTGAGAAAAACGAAGAGATAAACAAAGCAACAAACATGTTTTTCCAGGTTCTTATGATTTCGAATGTTATTATTATTTTCTTTATTTTGCCAATAATCAATGCAGAGAAATTGTCATTATGTGATCCATTAAATAATATTGAAGGTATTGAAACTTATAGGAATAATACCGAAATAAAATCACAACATCTACATGCTCTTTGTAATACTATTTATCCATCTCGAGCGCTAACTGATAATGATGATTTATATGCAATACCAGATTTTGATTTAACTCAAATTGAATCAGGTAAAAATATTATTATCTTTAATAAAAATTTAAAAACTTGTGATTCAGACAATGATGTTAATCAAATACTAAAACGATTTCGTCGAGGTCGTGGAGGTGGTGGTGGTGGTGGTAGTCGTGGAGGTGGTGGCGGTAGCCGAGGAGGCGGTGGTGGTCGATTTAGTAGTAGTTTTAGTAGAAGTAGCAGCAGTAGCGGCGGTGGTTCACGTATCTTTGGTGGTAAGAATATTTTACTTTTGAATATGAAGATTTTATATGCACAAAAATGTAGGAAGTCGATCATCATCATCGAGTGGATCATCGAGAATCTTCAGTCGTAAATAATCATCAGAAATTCTTTTTGTTTTCGCCTAGTTATATTTGATCATGAAGTCTTTTCTTTCAGGTAGTAGTAGTGGCAGTTCATCATCTGGCACTGGTTCTAGCATTTTTTCTCGTTCGTATAAATATTAATTACATCAAATTAGGACAAAAAAATCGTAATTCTAAAGAAAAATTTTGCTGGATTAGGTTCATCAGGTAGTAGTGGGCATCGAGTACGTGAAGCTATTCGATCAGCTGTAGTAAGATCACCATCATCACGCTCAGGTCAGTTCAAACAGAAATAGTATTTTGTCAATAATAGATGATATTGTGTATAAAAACTTTCAGGATCGGCAGTGTCATCGAATTCCGGTGGCCAACATCGTGTTCGTGAAGCAGTACGATCAATATTTCGGCATTCCCCATCATCGAAACCTGGTTAGAATACTTAACGTCAATTGACTTGAAATATTTCTATTGTTCTTTAAGGAGTTCCATCTGTTTCTGGTGGATTCTCAGGCACAAGTGGAAGTAAACCTGGTTTAAGTGATAAAATTCGTAAACCTATATTTTTTAATAATTATTTAGAAAATCACTTTTTTTCTCGCTCATTTTTTAGGACAGATTACTCATGGGGGTGGCCATAGTGCATTTGGTTCAGGAGTAGCAGGAAGTGGATTTGGAGCAGGAGGTAGTGGTGGTAATTCTTGGGTAAATTATTTTTGTTCTTATTTTTGTCTTGCGTTTATTTACATATTCATGATGATTACTTTTATTTTTATTTTTATTAAGGTGCGTGCAGGAAAAACATTTTTACCTCATGCTGTACGCTTTGGCAAACGCTATTATCAACGAAGAAAGTATAATAAAGGTATGTATGCTGGCGCGGGCTATTATGCTGGTAGCAATATGAATCGCAATAATTATGGAAATCATTATCAAACATACGGTAGGTAGAGAAAAGTTAGCTCCACCGCACAACAATTCAATTAGTTGCTTTGTAGACTATGGCTATCCGCCTGTTGTTGATGGTCCTCCTGAAATAATAGACGGCAAACCAACAAGTGTATTTTATTGTCTTCAAGAAGATCTTAATATGACATTAGTCAATCAAACATTGGATGATGAAGGTTTTGGCACATGTAATGTATCAGGCTTATTAGTAAAGTGTCCTATTGAAATTGAATGTCAAACAAATGAAGCCGATAATTGTTGTGAAGGTCATTATATTCATTTTATTGTATTCTATCTTATTCTTATCTATATAAATCTAATGTAGATGAGCAAGGTACACCATATTGTTGCGGTGGTCCACTACCTGAAGAATATGCTTCGGCCTATGGTGGTTATGAAGACGATGCATATGCTGGAGCGGATAGTATTAATACAATGTGAGATATCATCAACCATTTATTTTTGTTGTTAATACTAACTTCATTTTTTCTTCTTTAAATAAGATTGAATATCGTTACAGCAACGTCAATACTTTTAGCTACTCTATGTTTTACAATATGGCACCGACGAGGACAATAAACTGTAGATCCCTCTATATAAATGTCCCATGCATTACATTTAGAAATCACGCTTTTTGTACTCCTTTACTTAAAATATTATATGGTCTGCTTTTTATTTTTTATTTTGTTGTCGATATAATTCAATGATTTTGTTTTGTTCTGAAACAAAAAAAAAATCAATTTTCTTTCATTTAAAATTAAACAACATCGAAGCATGAGAAAAGTAAATGTTCAGATTTTGTACCAAATAGCTAACCGAATTTAACGATGAAAATTTCTTTTGTTGACAAGAGTATACGGTAAGCCATATAATGATAGAAGAAAATCGCTTTTCCTTTTAATATATTTATTGTCACCTTGATAAACTTTATTCTGATTATTTTCACTACTTTGATCAGTGATAAACTGATGTTGAGAAACTGGAATCGAATTATAGTCCTTAAAAACAAAACATATTTATAGATAGAGAAACTGATTTAGGTTTCTTCATAAATTAATCTATTCACCTGTTCAATTACTCGACATTCAACCTTGTTTGAATATAAAATTGAGATAACAAAAAGCACAGCCAATAATGCACTGATTAATTTCAACATGATGATAATAGATGCTTCGTAAGACAATGTATTTAACACCTAAAAATATAGAATATATCATATCTTTATATTCAACAACACATTTCTAGAGAAGGTAAATAGAACAAATATGCGAAAGACGAAAAATCAAATGTGTATGTTGTCAATTATGAACTAAATAATAGTAGATAGTCAACCAAAGAAAACCTATACATTCATTGTTTTGTGTTTACTTTTGTCTTGCTTTGAAAAGAAAAAAAGAAAGAGTACGACGCTTTCGTCTTTAGTTCACCTACTGTAAATAGTCTCTTTTCTGGAAACTAATTTGAACCAAATTAAATGAGAACGTCTGCTTTATAGTCCAAGTTCAAACTAATTTTCTCTAATAAAATTTGACATATCATGTAGATAGCAATTATTTATCTTATTTTATTCAATTAAAACGACAATAAAGTGTCAAAAACAAATTCTGTTTCAACAAATAATACTAAGAAACGATTAGACTGACTCGTTTCTCTAAATTTAGAAATGACTTTTAACACGATTCACTAAAACTTTCTTTGATGATCTATTTAATTGAAAAAAAAGATGAATGTAAATGAACGAGAGAAAAAAGTAATACCAGCATGCAATCTTTTTGTAATTCCGGTTGATGTCATTTTGATAGGACTATAGATTTTAAAATGTCATCTTTAATTTTCTGTACCATTAAAACGTATGTCAATAACATGACAAAAAAATGATTAAGACGATGATTTATCATCTTATTGTCAATTTACATAATTGTAGTCATGAGACATTAATAAACTCTTAATGAACACTTATATCAAAGAAATGTTCACCTACTGATATATTAGCAGCAATACTAATGTACAATAAACCTAGTATCATGAATAATTTCTAGTATAAAGTATAGATAATTATTGACATTTTACTTGAAATAACCATACCTTCAAGAAAACAGAACAATATTCATTTTATGAATGGAAAATTATATTTAAAAAAATAAACAAAGATAGCATCATACTAAGGATATTGTCATTACTAATTTATTATTTAATTTTGTATGCTTTTTCTCTTTCGTTTAGTTGAATTGTTTTTATATACGTTCTACTATAAACACAACTATTAACATCATAATATCCAAGTCTTATCTTCCACAGTATATTATAACTGTATAGTTCTTTCTGTCTGAAATAATTTGTTCGCCGATGATCTATACATTTTCAATGAAGTACATAAATCTAATTCTATATGCTCATCATTCATTTTTTAACATCAATCATAATTTCATATGATTTAGTCTAGTTGATTTCTTCATAAATTATCTATATCAAATATACAAATGTACTCTTGCATCCCATCATAGATAACGACTTAAGCAAAACATAAGTAAGCAAAACAGTTACTGCAATAAAGTCAGACGAGAGGTCATATCAAATCTTATACTATATGCGCTCATTTTTATTAGTTTATATGGGACCTCGTTTAAACTTATGTTTGCCTAATATACTATTATATGTTAGTAATTTCTTCTAAATTCACTCAACTGTGTAATAACTGTACTAGATTTATTTTACAAGGAATAAACAATTATCATTTGATTCTATTTCACGAAAAACAATAAACACCACTAAAAGGAAGTAGTATTTTTTGAGGGAAACATGATCTTAAACAGATGTTGCAATTTAATAAATTAGTCATTCACACCCACAAACACTTTCCACAGATTTTGGTAGTTGTACTAGCTAGCAAGAGGCTATCACAGATGTTGCTGAGAGTTGGTACAAGACCATATACTAATAGTTTTGATGGCAACTGCTGAACTAATTTCTTACTGTATTGCTCAAAGTTCAAACAAATAGATATGAAAGCAATTTGTCCCAAAAATAAGTTGTGTAAAAATCGTGTTATGTAATTACCGACATTAGTCATATGGTGTTTCACATTTTAATCAAACCGATATTGTGCTAACAATTTTTTCGCTCATTTCAAGACAACAATAAATCTGATACATCATTCAACATTCCATAAAATTATCCATAATTATTTATGTAATACCTTTTCATTTGAAATCCATAAAATGATTATATCTCTATGTACCTCTTAGCTATGATATATTTGAACTTTCCAAGTGTCTGTTAATAAACATTTTACAAGAAGACGCTAACTACTATCGACGCCAGAAGTCAAGGTAGTCGGATATTCTTTGAATGACTCATGATAGGAACAAGATAGAGACCCGAGATTTTCACCGTTTGAGAGCCAAAACCCAGGATCATATCTTCATAAATAAAAATCTTTCTGATAAGAAAATTCGAAGATCGGTTTTTTAGAGAATCTCTGGAAAACCACGCTGGATTTTTGAAAACCGTTATAGAAGTCTATTGATTTTCTTACATATTCGGAATCAGCATCAAAAATTAAGTCGACTTATACACGTTTCGAGTCTTTTCGCGAAATTTTGTTTTCTTCGAAAAATTCACCCCTGGTCCCCTCAAGAGGTCGATCAAAAAAGTGAACTTCATTAAAACGTTGTTTTTGTTCATTATTCATTTTCCATTATGGTTTACAGCAGCATCCTGCAAGATTGGAACCTGCTTTCCAGGACCCAAATGGCAATTTGATGGAATTCACTTTTTGACCGACCCTGAGAGGGGGACCACAAGGGTGAATTTTTCGATGAGAACAAAATTTCGTGACAATATTCGAAACATGTATAAGTCGACTTAATTTTTGATGCTGATTCCGAATATGTAAGAAAATCAATAGACTTCTATAACGATTTTCAAAAATCCAGCGTGGTTTTCCAGAGACCCTCTGAAAACCGATCTTCGAATTTTTTTATCAGAAAAATTTTTTATTTATGAAAATGTGATCCTGGGTTTTGGCTTTCAAACGGTGAAAATCTCAGGTCTCTATCTTGTTCCTATCATGAGTTATTCAAAAAACATCCGACTACCGTGACTTCTGGCGTCGATAGTAGCTCTAATCTTCAATGATATTTATCAAAGTTTTTAATTCATAGGCAATGTCATATTAATTTAATTATGTCTATCTCTGTTTTTTTCTTATTTGATGAACTATGCCATAGACTTAATCAGTATATACAAGTAATATTTTAGTAGAATATAATATAGAATGAACTAATCTCTTGATGAATGCTTTGGTAAAAGTCACCTCTGTCACCATTCAAAATCTTAAGCATCGCTTAAAAATTTATGCTTAAATTGACAAAAAGTAACTATTAATATATTTAATGCTAATAATGATTAGATTACTCAATATAAACTTGACACTTGGACCTATTGTCGTAGATCAAAAAGAAAAAGCAAACCCGAGTAATTGTTATGTTATACATAGCTAATCGAACGCATGACAAAAATACACGAAAATTTTTGATAGAAAACATCCGTTCACACAAATTAAATTATATTACAACATTATATCATAGGAAAATGTTCGTATTATCAATCAATTGCATGTATAACACATGATGGTAGTATCTATTCTTTTTTTGTAATGATTATAATATTTTTAAGAGAAAAAATGTAATACTGAGAAATCTTTATATTGAAAATATCCAATGAAAAATCTTCTTGCTGACTCAGTTAATTATTAAATCACATAGATTCTCTTAGTAATTTTTATAAATATAGAAATTTTCAGACCATCATTTGCTAGATTATGGCATTAGAATTAAAATCATAGGAAACAGAAGTTAAAAAAAGACACATATTCTTGAGAAATTGTTCTCATGTTTCATTGTAATCAAAGTTATGTTTTCTTATCATTTCTAAATATAATCATAAAATTTTTCTCAATAATTTATAATTTATCGTCGTAAACTTTTGTTATATATATATATTAAGAATATTAAAGCGAAAAATATTTGTACGTTTTCATGCCTATTGTTTTTTTATTCGAAAACAACTATTCTATTGAAATGCTGGTACATGCGACGAAATAGTATTTATAACTATGTCGAAAATAAGAGATCGTCACTATTATGTAGAAAAATGTCGAGTACGTCGGTTAACTATTCTTTTACATTTTTTTTTTATGCATAAAGAAGTACGTAGGTCTTTTTAGCCGATCTATCATTCTTTCTTTTCTTTTTTTCCTTCCCTACATATATTCTTGTTTCTTCTTATGACCGACTAGCTGTTGCCTGCTTCCGTCGAGTCAAACTTTTCTTTTTTTCTCATGTCGTTCTTGCTGGTGATGTTATACATTAAACGAGTGCACTCGCTCTTCTGCCGACGACGAAGCTGTCGGGGTGCGATAGAGAATCATGCAGAACGCAAGAGAAAAAAGAAAGAAAAGACGACTGAAACCCATCGACCAATTATATACCCGTGCACATACGCATTTCATTGTTAACGACGTCGTTTCTTTTTTTCTCTCCCTCCTTCTCCGTGTTACCGGGTGGTGGAAACTTAACCAAATTGTGCGCCAATAGTGAAAATCTCGCTCTAGTTGGACCATTTGCGACCAATGTAAGTAGCAACGAAGCTCGGGTTGGTTGTCCGATTCCCACCAGTTGATTTTGAGACAGAAGAAAAAAATACAGAACATAACATTCATTGAAAAATAAAAACTACAGAAATTCTTATTGATGATATTTATGATGATTAAAAATAAATCCAAACCATTTTTAATGAGGTATATTCGAGAGTAAAATTAAATAAATAAATATATCTGAATTTAAAATTTTTATCTTTAAACTTATCATCATTTTATTTTCTAGTCCGTTTAAAAATGGATTCATCTGGTTCTCAACAAAACTCATCAGGAAATACTGGTGGAAATGTTATTACATTAAGTAACAATGATATGATGCAACAGAGAACAAGTCTCGGAAATGGCCAACAGGTATTTAAGAAATAGAGAAACAAAAATTAAAAGAAAAAACTGAAACTGAATTTTCTCATGAATTTTGTTCCGGATTTCTTCAGGGAATAATAAAAAATGTAGAAATAAGATGTGTAAGTATGAACTTAGAGATATTAAAATTTTGAGCAAAATTAAAGCTTTAATCTATAAATGAATAATTTCATATTTAGCACGTATTATTTATATATTAATATTTTTTTGTTATATTTATTTTTCTATTAAGATTATTCTTAAAACAAGTGGATCACCAACATCAGGATCATTACCACAAGGACAATTTCTTCAAACATCTGATGGTCAATTAATTATATTACAAAGTGCTGAACAATCACAATCACAACAACCACAATATGTACAAGTTGGTGGGCAAAGTAAACATATACATATATTTACAGATTCATTTATTTGAATCAATATATGTTTTTATTCGATTTCTTTTTAGTTTTACAATTAAGTACGGTTCAAACATCCTCACAACCACAAACAATAACTATTCCAGCTGGCGCTCTTCAACTTGGTGGAAATGGACAACAGATTGTACAGTTATCAACACCAACGAAAAACCAAACGACACAACAAAATGGAACTGTTATTATGGTAAAAGACATTTATTTGCTTAAAATGAAATGACATGTTCTAATTTTGTTTATTTTATTCTAGATGGTACCAGGAAATTCAGGACAATTACAAGCAGTTCAAATGCAAACAACATCAGCTTCAGCACAACAAACACAGACAACTGTTGCATCTGAACCAACCGAAGAAGAACCATTGTACGTGAATGCTAAACAATACAATCGAATATTGAAAAGACGAGCTGCTCGTGCTAAACTTGAAGCTGAAGGACGAATTCCACGTGAACGTAAAGTATGTTAAATAAAATCAAAAAATCCTAATGGTATAAATTGTACTGATAATGTCCGTTGTATTTTAGCGTAAATTCCTTCATGAATCCCGTCATCGACATGCAATGAATCGTGTTCGTGGTGCCGGTGGTCGTTTTGCTCCAGGATCAAAACAAAAAGCGTAAAAGAAAAACTACTAAATTTGAAACTATAACTCTTTAATTTTTACGTCATGCTTTATATATATATATATATATATATGTGTGTACGCGTTTAAGATTTTTTCTTGTTTTTTTCTCTGTCTGTCTGAATGCGCCTGTGTTGTGTATATTGTAAAGTCAGACAAACAACAAACGAGTCGATGTAATATACTCGTGAAATATTTACTTATTCATTTTTTTTTGTAGACATCTAATTGACTGCATTGACCGAGAGACAGAGAGCGAGAAAAAAGACAACAGGACGAACAGATTTCTTGTTTGTTAGTTTTCTCGTTGATTCATTTTCTTGTTGTTTGTGGATATTTTGTTGAAAAAAAGAAAGAAAAGAAAGTAAGCAAGATTTAAATAAATAAAAAAAAGATGATTCTGTTTATATAATAATGATGTATTAGAAGAAATTTCGTTCTATTTGAACTAGAACTTATGCATTGATAATGTTGAAGAAATTTATATTAGACTAATAAATGATAATATTCAAAATTTTATCATATGCACAAAAAGAAAAGAAAAATTCTTAGCGTTATGTTTATTTCGCTTCAAAGTTATCGCAAGATAGGAGTGTCAATAAACATTAAATTTCTTTTTATTGAATGATCAAAAATGATAAGCTATCAAGCAAAGTTTAGAAGTGAATGAACAATGGAAGACACTTGTTGCTTTTGTATGATAAAGGTTATGATTCGTCCCGGTGGATAAATTCAGCAAATCTTACATATATTAAAGATACATATCAATTATTTGTATTTGATTTCGTAGCTCATGAAATAGATGTTATCAATTTGATAAAAAGTATTTTGAGCTAATAATTTATTTGGTCTTCATATATGTGCAGAACTGGGTTTAGATTGTAAGCGTCGGTTTGATCTATTATTTGGCCTTAAATTCTTTTAGAACAAACATCGATTATTCATATTATGTATTATTCATAGGTTACGTCTACAGATTTATTTTATTTTCATAAAAAAATGTGAGCGGTAAACATAAAATCGATATTGTAGGGTTTTCTTGGCTCATAGAAGAACTTGTTTAGATTCACAACAATTATTTAGTAAGTTTTGCATCTGTGCAATGATGCAAATCGACTGTCATATGCCCATGTCTTTCTCTTGTGCTATAACTATCACTTATTATGTATATTGTGTTTTGCGTCTTTGTTATCAGTCTGATCAAATATTGTTTTTCTTTAATGATTGTGTTCGTTCGATTGTGCCAAATAGTGCCAATATAATAAAAAAAAAAAGTTGCATTCAATCAAACATTTCTTATATGAAAAATATTTTATTAGACTTGTGCTATTTCTTCCGTCTATCATTTTATGTAGGAACTTGTTAATATATTAGAGTTATACATCTTAATTAAATAGATAGCTGAACCTATGTAGAATGATATATCGGTGTAGTTCTTAACTTAACGTATGTGAAAGATCGAAACTATCATGCAATCTTGTTTAGCCTTTAGTTTACATCGGAAAAGTGATCTGTTGATAACTCTGATTTTTATCAATGTCTTAGTCAATTGTGTATGCTAGATTTTTAGTTCTAACATATCAAGTTTTTCATGTTTCATGATTTCTATCAAATTTTTCTCTTACATCAGCAATACCCCACGATCCACGGATTGGAAATTCTCAGAAATTCAAGCGATTCCAGGAAATTTAGCCAATTCAAGCAACTCAAGACAATTCAAAGAACATCAGGGAATTCAAGTAACATCTAAACTGAGCCATCATCCTTGAAAAGTGCCTGAGAATTCAAGCAATTCAAGCAATTTAAGGAATTGAAGGGAATTCAAAGCAATTCAGAGAAAATCAGGAATTTCGAGTGCTACCTAAACTTAGGCATCATGCTTGAAAAGAGTCTGAGAATTCAAGGAATTCAACCAATTCAAGAAAATTCAAAGCAATCAGAGAAAATCAGTAAATTGGAGTGGTACCTGAACTTAGCCATCATCCTCGAAAAGTGTCTGAGAATTCAAGGAATTCAACCAATTCAAGGAATTCAACCAATTCAAGGGAATTCAGAGAAAATCAGGAAATTCAAGTGGTACCTAAACTTAGGCATCATCCTTGAAAGTTTCTGAGAATTGAAGGAATTCAGGGTGTGGGTGTGGGTGTGGGTGTGGGAAAGGGCCTCACACTACATCAAGCCAAGTGGGAGTGTGAGAAGGGTATCTCCCGCTCTAGCTAATTTGCAAGGGGCGAAAAGCGGATTCTGGATCCTTGGATTCTATTGGAACCTATTGCTCCCAATATAGGGCATTAGATTGCACAATAGATTGACTGGAGTGTACGGAAATTTATGAGAAGCCACTTCAATCTACTAAATACGTCGGAGTCTACCACAATGCATCAAAAACTGATTCGCTTTACAGCAATCTTTAAACAACGTAAAAAACATGGATCCTGGTGGATTAGGGGAGTGTAGCACACGGTCACGAGTGCTGATAAGCGTAAGCGTTTCTTCTCTAAATAGACTATGCAAGAAATCAGTAATAAAGAACCCACTTTAGCTGTATTCATATAAAAATACATTATAGTATTTCATACAGTTTCTTATCTAATATATTCAATCGATGTATTTCAATACTTGTTACTCGATGAATTGACAATAAGCACTAGAATAGGCTCATTAAAGTATGGAAAATCATAGTTTCCGAATATTTGTTTCTTAAACTCGCTCATCTTACTATCGCAAGCTACCAAGGAACAAAGCTAGGATCTTATTATATATGTCTAGTAGGGGTAGCACGTTACTATTATCGGTAATAAGTAATAACGGTTATTTCGAATTAATAATACTAACTAAAAGTCAGGAAAATGAATAAAGTAATAAGGAAGAGATAAAGCAATAAAGAACTTGCTCGTGGAATTATTTCTATTTATCGATATATTTCTATTTTCTCATCACTAGGACTACAACAGCTCTCAGATCGTAGTTCAGATCAAATGAACGAAAGAACTGCTGAAACAATTCTATTCACTGATTTGCCCACAATCGCTAGATTAGCTGCATTCAATCGCTAGTATTATTTGGGCCGTAATTAAGGGCAACCCCTTCGATCCATTAGGTCCTATCTAGATGTGATTCCTGTGACCTTTGCATCCTACCTGGAGGTGGTCTCCGTAAATTTGGTGGATTTACACTGGAATGGTTCCCTTAGCCATTGGGGATCTATTGAATGGTTGTCCTTATGAATTTTTCGGGACTGCTAAGGATAGTATTTCAAATTTGAAGATATCACTGCTGAACAAAGTGACATGTTAAAATGATGATACTTATATAGGACTGAAAAAGTTATAGAAACTGCCAATAGTTACGAATAGGATTGTGCCGAGACCGAAACTTTCCATCTCCGTCTCAGTCGTTGCGGTCGAGGTTTTGGCCTCTCTCTCGTTCGCGGTTAGCCTCGATTCCAGTATTGATGAGTGTTGGTTTCGGTTCATCCCTAGTTACGACTGAATAAGTTATAAAAATCCCCTCCCACACTGCTCGGAAGAATACAAGAGATGCCACTATATATGTACTAAAATGTTTCACAGGTCAGTCCTGGGACGTTTTCACATAGTTCTAGTTACCATCATGGGGTAGATCCAGAAAGGTACAGGGCCACCCCTTGGCAGTTTCTTAAAAGTTCTAGGTATCATCTGTAAGTAGATCCCAAATAGTTAAAGAGACCATCCATGGGTAGGTCCTAAAACTTCTGACTACTCCCTCTGACTTCTTAAAACGTTCTGAGTCGCCTGTATGTAGACTCCTAATAGTTATAGGAGCCAGTTCTGATCTGATCCTGGAAGCGTCTAATACGATCTCACGGTAGGTCGCAAGCAGCTATAAGAAATCCTCCTGGATACCCATGTGTTTCATTACGATGAAACTGTGACGCAGTTACGCCGTAACTGCGATCGCACTGTGACCCGTAATTGCGGAAAATTGCGACGTATTTACGCGTAACTATGATGAAAAAATCGCAGTTACGCGTAGTTACAGTGAAAAAAATCACAGTTACCCATAATTTCGTCAGTTTTTTGCAATTATAGGTCATAGTGGCATCGCAATTGGTACAAAAGATAACATCGATTATGTTTTTATTTTATTATTTTTATTGTTTAAAAAATCTTTTGAGTACAAAATAAAAAATTTAACACTAAAATTAAAATTTTTATAAAAAATAAAAAAACAATTTTTACATTACAAGTTGTCACAATAAAAATAGTTGAAAAATTAAAACTTGAAAAAATTTCAAAATCTACTAAATTAAAAGTTAAAAAAAAATTGTTATTTTAAAACTTAAGGATAATAAAAAATAAATATCGAGAAAAACAAAAAAAATTAACGTCTAAAAACATTTTTAATAATTTAATATATAACAGAAAAAAAAATTAGTTAGAAAAATTTGAAATAATTTAATATAAAAGAAAAAAAATTAATTGAAATAAATTGAACTGAAAACATTTTAATCAAGAAATTTTTAAGAGAAATAAAAAATATGCATTCTACTGCTTTTAGTAGAATGACTTATGAACGAAAATGTGACGAACACTGCTATTAATACTGATTTTTTGTGACTAAGTTTTATTGTTCCAATGGAGCCAATTACAAATAAGGAGGAATAATTTATAATTGGTCATTTATACCTACAACGGATCGTAGGATGCGATCACTAGGACGCAGTTACGTTGATCTGTGTCCCAGTAAGCGTAGTTTCTTA